TCTCCTGCTGAGCATTTTATAAACAGTATCTAAAATCAGAACATCTACGGCCTTCTCCGAAACTGTTCCAATAGTAAAATATTTACTTCGAAGCACTAGCCAGTATATCCATATTTCTGTGTGGTGCCACCAGCGCCAAGTCTCTGAGCGACACGTGCTAGGCACAACTTGACCTCTCTGCAGGGGCCCAGGGAGAGCCGGTGTCAGCGGCTGCGGGGAGGCGACGGGAGCCCGGGAAGGAGAGCCGTGGGCAGCCCCACGAGCCCCAGCGCTCACAGGTCACCCCTGGCGCCCGCATCCTCGCTGGGAGCGGCACGGGAGGATCAACCGCTGCAGACAAGTCCTGCGAGGATGAGGAGCGAGGGCAGGGGGAGCAGCCGCCAACGCCAACTCCAAGCACCGGCAGGAGCGACCCGGGAGCCGCTGAAGGGCCTGTGGAGCAGCCCCCGGGGCTGCGAGAACGCACAGGGCCAACCGGGGCGCCAGGGCAGGGAGCAAATGGCGCAAAACCAAGGCAGATTGCAGAGAACCAAGCGTAAGAAAATAAAGGGAAAAGGGGATTAAAAGGGTCAGTCTTGGGCGACTGCTGGTTGGCGAGAGCAGGTTGGGGGTTCAGCAGGGGGTTCTCAGGTTGGTCCGAGTGAGCCCTGCAGCTGGTCCCCATGGCCGGGCTGACATTCCCATTAATTCTGCTTCTCACCGCCCCTCGGACACAACCGGTACTGGGAAGGTGGGCAGGTCAGCGCCCGGGGCTTCTCCAGAGCCGCCTCCAGAGCACACGTGGGGCACAGAGCTGCACACGCTGCGGTGCCCCGGCCACCCAAACCGTTCACAAGGATGCCGAGAAATGGCCACAAACTGAAGCACCACAAGTTCCGCAGGAACTTGAAGAAAAAGGTCTTTCCTGTGAGGGTGACAGAGCCCTGGAACAGGCTGCCCAGGGAGGCTGTGGAGTCTCCTTCCCTGGAGATCTTCCCAACCCGCCTGGCTGCCGCCCTGTGCCCCGTGCTCTGGGTGTCCCTGCTGGAGCAGGGGGCTGCACTGGCTGATCTCTAGGGGTCCCTTCCTACCTAGAGGGGAAAGCCTATTTCACCAACAACACATTTTAAGGAAATTACTATGTGCAGCTAAGGGGACAGGACATACTAAGTTTGTGATGCACAAAATAGATGATGGCAGCAACATAAAGCGCTCTAAGTAATTACCATCGCCCAAGTGCCTCAGCGCAGGGCTATGTGTTTAACCCTCCATCACCCCACAGCGCCGGGCGCTGGTCACCCAGCGGCGCCCGTCGCCCAGCTCAAACGCCCGTCGCCCAGCTCAAACGCCCGTCGCCCAGCTCAAACGCCCTTCTGCTCCTTCGCCCTTAACTCCTTCAGACCAAGTTAAAGGCCAGACAGGCCCGCGCCTCGCTCCTCCCCCGCTCCCGCCTCTCCGGACGCCCCAGACCGCGTCCCTGTATTTCCACGGCGGGAACTCGATCCTGAGCCGCCCCCATCCGCACAGCTCCCGCCGCCGCTACCTCTCCGTAGCGCTGCACCAGCCGCCCGATGCCCTCGCGCTCCACGAGCCACTCCGGGCGCTGCCGCTCCTTCCGGCGCCGCCGCAGCGCCCGCTGCCGCCGCGCGTGCCTCTTCTTCCAGCGCTCGAAGTCGCGCACCGGGTCCACGTCGGCGGCCGCCGCCGCCCGCCGCTCCCGCCCGCCGGCGCCGCCGCCATCGCCCGCCCGGCCCATGCTGCGCGCCCGTCCGCGTGCGTCGCTGCGTCATCCGCACGCGCCGGGGGCGGGGCCTCGGCCAAGGGGAGGGGCTATGGGGAAGGGGCGGGGCCGCAGCGCCAGCGGACGCGGCTCAGCGCTGAGGGAAGGCACTCAATGCAAAGGGGCGTGGCCTCGATGGAGGGGCGGGGTCTCGTCGCAGGGGGCGGGGTCTCGCCGAAGTGGGCGGGGCCGCTGCTGAGGGAGGCGGCGGGAAAGACGGCGCGCCGCGGGGAGCTCGGGAAGCGGGAACGGGCGCCGACGGGGGCGGTGGAAACTGTGGGTCGAAATAAAATAAAATAAAATAAAATAAAATAAAATAAAATAAAATAAAATAAAATAAAATAAAATAAAATAAAATAAAATAAAATAAAATAAAATAAAATAAAATAAAATAAAATAAAATAAAATAAAATAAAATAGGAAACTATTATATCCTCGGTTACCGTCCTAACTGTTGTTGCTTGCGATGCAGCACTGTGGATGAGGGATGTCTTCTGTTTCTGTTAGTGCTTTACTTGCCTATTTGCACCAGCAAAATTTGCCAAGCTAAATAAATTAAGAGACATTCAGAACACGAATGATGGGACACGTGTTGAAGTTTCTTTAAGCTCCATTTGATGTGTGTTTTGACCCTTGTCTTTCATAACACACTTGTAGCTCATAGTCATGCAAGCTCCCGGTCCTGCAAGGGGGCTGAGTGAGGGGGAATATCCAGGGAAAACACAGTGCAGGGCAAGTGTCTTCAAAGACACAGACCTCTAGAAGTGCCAAAATTGCACCAGCTGCCCTGCTTTGAGCCATGGCCACCACAGGAGAACCAGCCTTAGTGCTTAAATGTGATCCACAGCAAGGGGCCAACTCGGATTCTTAATTAAGGTTATAGGTCTCGTCTTAAAAACTACGGTTAAACAGGTTCTAGAAAGTGGGAGAGGAGAGGGAACTTATGCTCTGCTCCATTACCAGGTCCTCTCCGTTGCCAGAATTTTGACTAAACAGGACAGATGATACCAAAAAAAACATACGTGGTGCGCACTGACTAAGGGATTTTCACCTGTTTGGGAAATGTTCAGGACAACAGCAAACAACTTACTAAATCTTGAAATGAAAGCAATCCACCAAAGAACAGATCTAAATGAACATGATAAAAACTTCATGCCTTGATGCTTGAAATGAACAGCATTTGGCCAGTGAAGGCTGCACACAACACGGGTCTGCACTACCTAGATTCCAAACACCTCTGGGTGTCTTCCAGCTGGGAACGCTCCAAAAATGAGTGTCTTGCTACGTGATGCTATCAGTCTTTAAATATCACTGTTTCTTCAAAATGCTATGGCATGTCGATGCTCTTTCAAAGCTTTGGGATGCTTTGGGATGGAGGTTGAAATAAACAGCCACAAAAAAAGAACATTTTTTTTTTCTCAGAACCAACACAAAGGGTTTTATTGCAAAATATAAGTGTGACACATCTTGCGAGAAACCCATGAGGGAGCTTGCTGAAACGTGTTTTTCCTCACGGAAACGTCAAGCAAGCCAGGGTCTGCAAGCCCTATCCCTTCATTGCGTCCTGCTTGTGTTTGCCTTATTGCACTTTGCAGAGGTTTTGGCAGGGATCAAGGCAGTGTTTAGATAGATCTGAACCACTAGAGGCCCTCACAAACCTATAGCAATAAAAAATGACTAATATGCTAGGAACGTCATAGATAAAGACTAAAATGAAACCTTAAATAATCCAGCCTGGTGCCCTTTCGTGGTGGTCAGGATCCATTGACAGCCCCCTGGCAGAGGTTTTCCATCCAGTTCTCATCTCCATAAACAGGAGTTTAATTCTGAATGTATTTGATAGTTCTTTCACAAGCTGAGCTGATTTCCTGAGTCATGATCTAAATCAGACATTGAGCAGACAGTTCAAAGTGTGGCAATTACACACTTTGGAAGAAAACCACTACAGAAGAGGCTGGTATACACAGTGTTGTGCTGAGGTGCAGCACAGAAAGTGACACACTGCTTCAAACACTGCCCTCTAATTAGAAAATGATCATGCTGGAGAAAAAGAAGAAAAGGAAAAATAAAATAAAATAAAATAAAATAAAATAAAATAAAATAAAATAAAATAAAATAAAATAAAATAAAATAAAATAAAATAAAATAAAATAAAATAAAATAAAATAAAATAAAATAAAATAAAATAAAATAAAATAAAATAATAAAATAAAATAAAAGGACTTGCAGTTAACACAGTTCTTGGGTTCTATGCTTTCCAGAGTTCATATATTGTTTTTCTCAGCTCATTAAGTACAATATATTTAGCTCTTGACAGGTATGTAAAAATGGTAGTGTACATTTATGCAGCAGGCACTTATACCTTATTATTCTTGTGTTTATATGTATCATTATTCTTGCATTTGGAAAAAGAGCCCTAATTTATTGTTTTGATTCTGTAGTTTATTCGCTGGGTGTATTGCTCAACTATGAGGTGCACATTTCTGTCCTATTTATAAAGACTTAATAACACCTCTTTGTGTGGCCCTGAAGCATAATCCACCCAACCTTTCCTATCTGTCTGCATATTTCTGGCTGTAGCAATTAAACTTGGTGTAAATGCCCATAGTCATTAGAGCAGTATTTGATACAGCCAGTTTCAGACAGGAAACATAGGATGGGAGTCAGTCATGACCATGTCCCATGTCCATCCCTATGTCCCATGACAAGGGGGAAGGCAGGAGGAAGCTGAGGAGAGAAGCCCTTGGCAGTGCCTGTTTACATGGGCAGAGAAGCGGCCAAACCCGTGCCCATGTCCATACCACTCAACCACTCATGCTGACAGTCCCTGCACTTGTCTTCTGGGAGGAATCCAGCACGGGCCCATACGGATAGATAACACTTGCATGAACTTTGTAGTTGTCAAATCAAATTCATCCCCGATCTAATTGCAAATTCACATCAAAGATGAATTTATCCTCACGCTTTATTAGTTTATTTAGCTAAAGCTTTATTATCCTCATGCTTTATTAGCACCAGATTTCTCAGGTAGAAGAGACATGGAAAGTGAAAATTAAACTGTCACTTCACCATGTATCTGTAGTACCATTAGTACCCATTTTGACCTTCAAAAACGAGAACAATAGCAGCATTCCTGCAACTCCAGATGGAGAAGCCACAAGCCACCTTCTAGGCGGGCAGAACCCCTGCCCACGAGCGTCAGAAAGATGACACTATTCCACACCAACCCCAGACTTGGTGGTTTCTGCGCTAGATCTGCTCATCAGCACATCTTTGTTAATGCAAGGAAATGATACATCATTTTCTTTAAGAGGACCAATGTGGAGACGAAATGGTGCGAATTTGTCTGTAATATTCTCCTGAAGAAGTAGGTCAGTTTCAGGAATAATCCCAGACATCCCCAGTACAGATTAGAGGTTGACCCACTGGAAAGCAGCTCTGTGGAGGGGGACCTGGGAATTAACCATGAGGCAGCAGTGCCCTCGTGGCCAAGAAGGCCAATGGGATCCTGGCCTGCATCAGGAGGAGTGTTGCCAGCAGGTCAAGGGAGGTGATTCTGCCCCTCTGCTCAGCTCTGGTGAGGCCGCACCTGGAGTACTGGGGGCAGTTCTGGGCTCCCCAGGACAAGAGGGACGTGGAGCTTCTCGAGAGGGTCCAGTGGAGAGTGACAGAGATGACAGGGACTAGAGCATCTCTTGTATGAGGAAAGACTAAGTGAGCTGGGCCTGGTTAGCCTGGAGAAGAGAAGACTGAGAGGAGATCTGATCAAAATGTGTAAGTATCTGATTGGAGAATGTAGGGAGGATGGGGACAAACTCTTCTCGGTGGTGGCCTGGGACAGGGCAAGGATTAATGGGTACAAGTTGACACACAGGAGGTTCCATCTCCATGTGAGGAAGAACAACTTGACTATGAGGGTGACAGAGCCCTGGCACAGGTGCCCAGGGAGGCTGTGGAGTCTCCTTCTCTGGAGATCTTCCAAAGCCGCCTGGCTGCCACCCTGTGCCCCGTGCTCTGGGTGTCCCTGCTGGAGCAGGGGGTTGGACTGGGTGATCCCTAGAGGTCCTTTCCAACCTCAACCATTCTGTCATTCTGTGATTCCATGATGGAGTACAGCCATATACCTGGCTAGTTGGATTTCTGAAGCTGTTGACAGCAACATTTCTGTCCTACTGATTGTTGGTTGTAAGAAAACAAGAAAAAGAGAAAAATGTTTTTCTTCTTTGAATGAGATCCTAATCTTTGTTAGACAAACCAACATAATGACTTGAGACATTTATGAGACATAAAGAGACTTGAGACATGACATTTCTTGAGAATCAGATCCAAGGGGGCAGATTCAGCCCCAGATTGCAAATACATAAGTGTAGGCATATGAGCAGAAGGGCTTGTTCAGCCGCTCACACACACATGTCTGGAGCATTCTGAGATTGGCTACCAGAGCTCCATGTGCTTCTCCAGAAGGGCACACGTCCCCCATGCCGTATGTGTCAGCCCCATGTCAGCCTATCTACCCCAGAGCATCAGACATTTGTGTTTATGCCCTGTGTTCCCTGTAGAGCGATTCGGCCCACTGTAAAAGAAACACCTCACTTGGTCACCTCCAGAGTCCATGGGCTGTGTTGTGGAGATCTCCACCAACTCTATTAGGACTCTGACTTTCAGACATGGCATTAAGCGCCGATAAGTCGATAAGCCGGAGCTGGCCCCCTGCCAATCTCTCTCCAGAGTTCTTCAGCCGAAATGTAAAAGCACAAAATCTGAGGCATGTAAAAACATGGACCTAAAAAGTTTCACTGAGTCCCTCAGCAGATTAGTGTTCCAGTTTCACTTCATTTAGCAATCGTTTAAATCCTTTTAACATCAACAAGAACATTCAGGAAGCAATTTGTCACAGCTGATGCACAGGCTGAGCTAAATCCTAGGTAAATCTT